TGAAGTTGACCCTATCTTTATTCCCAGATACGAATAGTGCAGACTTCTCCTGCTCTTGCGCTTTTAGAGCCCTCTCCCACATTTCCGCGGGCTGGTCATGCTCGTTTCCTAATGACCAGATATTGTGTGAAAGTCGCCGTCGAGATCTGTCATCCGTTGGACCGTCGAGTGCTGATATAGACTTCTCTTTAAAGAGAGTAGAAGACCTTGAACGGAGCTTCTTGAAAGACGGTAGGCGCATGCTAGAACGCTTTCTTGCGCGTTTTCTAGGTTCGCCGAGCTCTTCTTTGAATTTTGTAGATTTGCCTGCACTGGGTGAACTCTGCAAAGACTCCAGAAGGATATTTGATGCATGGATAGTAGCCTCAGAGTTGTTGCTCGGACTACTGTCATCCTTGAGACCTCCACTGTCTACAAAAGGGTCGTGTTCCGCTCTTGGGGTGTGAATGGAAGGATTTTGTATCGTAATGTGAGGAATCCGCATGATCTCACGTTCCGATTTATCAAGATGCGAAGCTGCTACTGGACGTGATGTTGAATCCGTCAATGCAGTAGATATGCTCATCTTAGCGGGACCAAAGCTTTCTAGAGGACTCTGTGGTCTCGAGGAGTATATAGATGAGGCATCGTCCTTGACGACATTGCCCCAGCTGCTGGGTACATTTGCGCTTCCGAAACCTGTACTGGAGGTTTGCCGATTGTGACGCGCCCAAGATGTTGCTCCGGGCATATTATTAGAATTACTGGCCCTATGTCGATTTCGTAAAGGTCGAGGGCTATATGATGACGAGGTTACCGATATTGCAGATGGTGACCGAAGATGCTGGGATATTCTCATGCTGTATAAGTGAACTGAGGATGTTATTGATCGAGTCCGGGACGGATCCATAGCATGTACTGTGTCTCCGCCTTCGTCATCAAACTCTTGAGAATTCTCCAGTTGATTCTCGATAATATTCCCCTTTCTTAACACACGCATTTCCTGTCTATTGCTTCCGCCATCTTCACTGTTGGAGAGCGCTGCTAGACAGTCTGAGAGCAGAGATCCCGGTTGAGAAGAGACTGTACCAGCACTAGTCGGGCCCTCCCGAGCAGGTATAGCGCCCAACGCGCTCTCCGCGAAAGAATCCGCTGGCTGGGACTTGATACCACTCTCCGAATTAGGTGGACGAAGAGGGGTTACCAGAAATTTCGGGAGAGCGGTCAAGCCTGACTCAGAACGTGATCTCCTGCGTTGGAGTGTATCCCCACTCATACGGAGCAACAAGTCTGGGAGACTCGCTGAGGTTAGGAGGAGAGGTAACTCCTGAAGAGATCCATCCTCTGGCTCAATTTCAGCATTCGGCATTCCAATTCTTGACGCAGATATCTCCTTGTCGATGGCAGTCTGTTCTCTGACGAATAGTGTTAGCATTCAGTGAGCAATCATAAATACGGTTACTTACAAATTTAAATTACGATTCATCGATCCGAGATTGGGCGAATTTTCCGCGTGAGTTTGATCCCCGAGTTGGATAGACACCAGTTGTGCCTGGTCAAGTCGATTTTTGTCCGAAAATGCTGTCGCCAATCGATGCGAAATGTCTTCAGCATCGGAATCGTATCCACCGCTGGTAGCGCTCTGGTCACTTAGCAGGTTCATGCGGATTTCCCTCTTGACCGTATTGGACCGTTCGATAGACGTCCTCAGCAAATGATTGTCATCTTCACTTTGTCGTTTCTTGCGAAGACCGGAAGTCGACTTTGTGCTCATCCACGATAATCGTTTCCGCAGTAGACCTTTAAATCCTTTGGATTCGGGAGTACTGGCTTGGGATCTATCGGTCATGGATTTCTTAGACTTACGTCTAAACATACTAGGAGGGTTGGAAGTGTCTTCTAAGGATGCTCCTTCAAGGATACGCTGGATTTGCCGAAGTTCTTCAGGTCCTGCAGAAGTGTGACGAGTGCTCAATGAATTTAGTAATTGTTCCTGGACGTCTGTATCACGACGTATTCTCGCATTTGGAATTATTGGAGAGTCAGTTCGTTCTGGGTGAGTGCAACAGAATTCATTGGCCATTGTTGAAGAATAAATAAGAGGAAAGCTCACTACATAATATGAGGACAGTGTAGCAGCCGAGAAAGGAACTTAGTGAGCGTAGCTAGTACCTCGGCGACAATTACACTGGAACGATGGATACAGGAAGGAGAAGTGGAAAATGGAGCGAAGTGCATATCAAAACTGGAAAGAACGGACGGAAAGAGGAATCCTATTCACGTAAGCGCGGAATAGGGCCTAGGTGGATAAGGTACCTTACTGTGGTACATAGGTACACATACCTTCCAGGTTATGACGCAACACATACATGCTCTTCGCTCTTGCTTCTTGATATTTGAAACCATGCATTGAACCGGAATGCATCATCGCGTAAGGTAACCCTACATCAACCTGAATATCTTCAAGTCAGTGCTTAGTCAATGCTACCCGTCTGTTCTCATTCAGTGTCGGGTACGTTCATGTATCAATTAAAAAGTCCATGACCCAGCCCTTGAAGTAGAGTAGCAGAGAAAGCAGATCGGCACAATGTGAATATTGGAGCAAAGGGGGGTAGTAGTAATGATTTTGTTGTTACAGCATCCTAGCCACTCGAAGATGGAGCATCGTCTAATAGAACTACACCCTTTTCTTCCAATAATTTAGCCAATGATCCATCCTGATGCATTGACATCAATATATCGCAACCGCCGATAAACTCCTTGTCGACGTAGAGCTGTGGTATTGTTGGCCACTCCGAGTATTCCTTGATCCCTAAAACATATTTGTTAGGGCGAGTCGAACCTGGGAAGGTGCTTCTTATACCCTCTCGAATATCCGGATTCGCAAGTACATTCACAGTTGTGAACTTTCCTGGATCCACTCCTTGATACTCCAGTACCTGTATACTCGCCCTCGAGAATCCGCATTGCGGTTGGGCAGGCGTCCCCTTCATGAAAAGTACAACTGGTTTCGAAGCAACTACTTTATCAATCTCGAATTTTGTTTCTTGAGATAATAATCGAATCTGAGAGGCATTGAGGAAGCGAATGGATTGCGGCGCACGGCATGCGGTGTTTGGGGCGAATGCTCTTGGAGCACCAGGAGCTCGTCGGAAGACCTGAGATGATTAGAATTACAATTTTTGGGCAGAATTCATCGGTTTGAAAGGTTCTTACAGCGGATGGCACAGTTCTCGATAGCATAGTGAGTGCGATGTTTGGTTTGAATGTAAGTGTCGACTCGTAAACCTCCGTGATACAAAAATGCCAATGCCGCAAATCAGCATGACATAGGTCGCCAAGACTTCACGTTAGTGGAGAGCTCGCCCATCGCGACTTCAAACTGGATGACTATTAAACACGGAAGCACTCCGACTGTACACGATGTCCGGTCGACCTCTTCCCCTTCCACTAAATGCCTCCGAACATATCAATGACGGGAAGTATCACCTCTTGCTAGCAGCTTCAGGCTCTGTAGCATCGATCAAAATACCACACATTATCAGTGCATTATCAAGATACAGGAATATTTCCATCCGCCTTGTTCTCACCCAATCGGCTTCCCAATTCCTTGCTGGACAATCCGCCGAACAACCTTCTCTATCTACATTAGGAACCCTACCTCATGTTGATGGTATATACCTTGACGAGGACGAGTGGAGTGAACCCTGGGTACGTGGTAATAAGATTCTCCACATAGAACTGAGGAAATGGGCAGACCTCCTACTTATTGCTCCGTTGAGCGCGAATTCATTGGCCAAGATGGTGTATGGTATATCAGACAATCTACTCCTATCGGTCATTAGGGCATGGGACACCACCGGCGAGGTTGATCCCATGCGATACTGTATTAGTGTGGGTAGTGATGGTGTCTATACAGAAGAATTCCTAGAACAGTCATTCAAAAAGATAATCATTGTCGCTCCAGCAATGAATACTGCAATGTGGGTGCAGCCCGTCACAAAACAGCATATCCGCGTGCTGGAAAGCGATTGGAATGTCAATAATGGCGGATGGGTCCAGATACTGAGACCTACGGAGAAAGAGCTTGCATGTGGCGACTCGGGATCTGGGGCAATGGCCGACTGGAACAAAATTGTAGAGTGCATACTGCAGAAGTTCACCCTTATAGCATGACATTCGGCCTATCCAGTGGGTTATAATAACAATCCATGGAAAGTAAATGAGAAGCATGATATCACATAGTTTCGTTCACCACACGATTTTGTCTCGTTGTAACGACCATAAATACCCCTAAGCATATGGTATCTACGGACCGAAAACACCTTAAGATACTAGCGCTCCAACGACAAAGCCAACCTGTACCCACATCGATCTCTTTGAGATCTTGAACGAGATTAGAACCCACAATACTTTGCACTCTCTACAGGAATGCTCGTCTTAAGGCGAATCAAACAGTTTTAGGGAGAAATACGCGATTCTGAAAGCTCCGATCCGTTACCAAGCGTAATCTCAGCGTTTAGAACTTAAGAGGTCTCGTTCATAACGCACGAGAACTGTTGAGCCTCTGCAAGTATGCAAGCTTGTAACAGCTTCCAGCCCCTTTGAGGCGCGGCAACGGTTCTCACGTGCTATTTACGAAGGCCGCCTCATTGATTAGTACCCACTATTATCTGCAGTTCCTATCAACAAGGGACCTCAAACCTAGAGAACCATTATACAGTATATCCTAGACAGGATTTTGGCTGTACTGCATTGTACTGCGCTGGGCTGTGAATTGTACAAAAGAAATAAAGTATGTGTGCTAACAGAATGTAACATTATCTGAGAAATTTGTAGAACAAGTTCTATTACCTTAGAAATGAAGATAACGTATCCATGCCTATAAGATAGATAGAAAAATGCTCAAAGTGCAAGATATGCAAAATGAAGACTTAATTCAGCGTTGTTTATTGTCGAGGGCTCTCAGAACACCAGAAATTCATGCAGTATGGGAGGGTAGGTATCAGGAGCAAAATGTAAGGAGGCTCCGTGGATCGAACACGAGACCTTAGGATAATTGTAGACTGGAAGACTGCAATCCCACGCTCTACCGCTGAGCTAAGCCTCCAATTTGGAGTTCATTAATTTTTGACACGTTCTCATAGAAATTTAGTTCAATACGAATAAGTGCTCTTCTGCGGTGGCACCTTCACCGCCTCAGTTGAGGTTCGTTTTCTGCTGGCTATATAGCTATGAGCGGTAAGGCCAATTTTTGATTTCCCCCCGTCTCATATGCTACCTTATTCTTGAATTATTCCATTTATGATCTGTCTCACCTCATCTCTTTCGCATCTATGGACTGTTGAAGAAGAAGTAGCCATTCAATTCTATATTCACGGCGTCTGCTCGAGCAATACATGCTTCGAGATAGTAATTCAACTTTTAATAAGATCCTAGTGCACATCTATCAGGCCAAACCGTTTCTCTCTGTCTCTGTCTCAGCCACCAGGTGTTTGTGTTCCATTTCAAGATAAAGATCTTGATGAAATACCTTTCGAGACCTAGATGTACATCTCCACATAGCATTTCTGAGTCGACAGCTTGGTTAACTGTAGGTACCAACAGTAAAGTACCCGGGTTAGCCCTTGACTTTCTCACATTATGCGGCCTGTCCACGTAACTAGAAGGATTCACCACGATTACCCACTGCAATCCTAGAGTCACGTGCAGGTTACGACCGTTGCGATGCGATTCGTTCTCACTCCGAGCGTCCTAGGATTGAGGCCTAACCAACAACATGGACTTGTCGGGATATTTCCTATGAACAAGGACTTAAAACTGCTGCGCCTCCAGCCGCAAGTTCGCAATGTTACTGAAGTTACTGATGAACCTTATGAACTTGCGGTAAGAATTACTTTACAATGTCGGCGAACCAGTAGCTCGCACCAATTGGCTCGACTTGGTTTAGTCTATCACTACAAGAGGTAAAGCTTGCGGATTTTTGATACCAGGACATGCGCAATGCTCTCTCTCACTGCCTCTCAGACATTTCCATTTCGAGCCAACTTTGCGACCGGGGGGTTTTAAGAATGGCGTTTACAGCAATGGATTCCTATCATAGTAGTGCAAGTCACGCTGATTTATCGAGTAACGTCCGTAAATCTACAGTCACATATCTTTGTGTTATTATATAACAGATGCCCTCCAAGGCCTCCATGAGTCTTTCCGTCCCTCATTCAGGCCAACAACCTTCCACTTCAATCATATTTTATAAACCGTCTTATTTCTTTTCCATTTATTTACTTTCAGGTTTTTTGTCTTCTAGATTTCTCCAACCATGTCTGAAGAACTCAATGCCATAACTTTCAATGGTACTCTCATCAATGATGAGAACTGCAATGTTGATATCTGCTCTCTCGAATACGCGAATTTCACCTACGTGCCGAACTTAGCAGGCAATATCATTTTTGTCGCAATATTCGGACTCTGTATACCATTCCAGCTCTTCTTTGGTATCCGGCATAAAACATGGGGATACATGATTGGCATGTTAGGAGGTCTAATCCTCGAAGTGCTAGGCTACGTGGGTCGGATACAGATGCATTTCAACCCGTTCAAATTCGATCCTTTCCTCCTGTAAGTCTTTCTTACATTCCAACCGGTCAACCCAGATTTCATCCTTAGTCCTAACCTTATCTCAGATATCTCATCTGCCTCACCATCGGCCCGGCCTTCTTGAGTGCTGCCATCTATCTCTGTCTAGGCCGCATTGTTGTCGTCTACGGTGACCACCTCTCCCGATTCAAGCCTGGAACATACACCATAGTCTTCGTCTCCTGCGATCTCCTATCGCTCGTTCTTCAAGCTCTCGGTGGTGCCATCACCGCAACTGCAGACGATGACCGCGATAAGCACGACATGGGTGTCAACATCATGATTGCTGGTCTCGCATCCCAAGTCGTTTCCCTCCTCATCTTCATGGTCCTTTGTGCCGACTTCGCTTTCAAAATCAAGAGGAACTCCCGTGCGACCAATGCCGCTCTTGCCGATGTCCGCGGCACGCTCAAGTGGAAGGGTTTCCTCATCGGTATGTCCTCAACCTTCTTGCACCGTTTCAAGGAGAACTTTTACTTACTTTACCCACTAGCTCTCGTTATCGCAACATTCACTATCTTCGTCCGTTGCGTTTTCCGCGTTGCCGAGCTCTCCGAAGGCTTCGACTCTCATCTCGCCAACGACGAAGTCACCTACATGATCCTCGAGGGTGCCATGATCAGCATTGCCTCTATCGCGCTTACCATCATCCACCCCGGCGTCGCCTTCGCCGGCAAGTGGGACCTCGGCAACTTCAGCTTCCGCAATCGCAGCACAAGAAAGGGCATGGAGAAGGTCAATCAGGTTGAGGTATAGATTGTATGATAGGGTTTGCGATGGGACAAGAACTTATATGGCAGGAGTCGGAACGCTTGATGATGAATAGACGCAAGTATACTCCGGTATAAGACAGATAGAAAAGGCATGGCATGGGTGTTGGCATATCTGATGTTTTTGGATTTTGGACATACCCGCAGGGATCGTATTGTGAGCGTTCTTTTGTTGGCGTTGGGCATCCTACTAGCACTAGACACTTGGGTTGATAGGGAATTCATAATGATACTATTAACGTTCTTTTGTCCCTCAATCCTCCCTCATCCTTTTCTGTGTCCACCCAATTGGACTCATGCTATTCAATTGGAGACTGCTCCCCCATCTCTAAGGAAGCGTTATCTTGAGATGCACTGACAACCTGAGGTTGCTCCTTCCCGTCAGGATTTTTTCTAGGATTATGTAAGATCCCGCACATAGGAACGCCTAATAATATTAATGCAAGAAATGACAAAGCAAAATGTACTCTTACCCTTTCCTGAATCCTGACTTACCGCAGCCGCACGAACCAGCCATTCCTCCGCAAATCCAGACTCGAAAATCTACCTCTTTATGCCCAGCAACTGTACTGTACAGTACAGTCACCGAACAGTGCCCGCGCAAGAACGGCGGATACACGCCGCGATCCCGTCCTAGAGAACCGTGTACAATTGATGGTTATGTTTCACGCAAAGCAGCAAATTTACATTATCATCTAAGGCCAGCAGAAACAGAACAAATCGAGTGTTGTTTGTAACTTTGTATGGACACGCACTGAAACAGACCCCATACGGCGTCAAGGAGGAATGTGCTGGTTGTGGGCGGCCTGGATGGTATGTACCGTTCGAAAGGGGGATTTGAAGTCTGGAACGGATTCTATGCCTTACGGCCGTACTGTATTGGAGTGGGATTGATTGTACGGAAGGGTGGGGGTATGAGTGTCTGTCGTTTTTGGACGTGTGTTTGAGTTCACTTCATCGCTCTGATGGAATTTTCACTCGACTCATATTGTAAGGACTTAGTTTATATCTCTCGGACTACTGGAGGAGAGCAACTTTCTCCCTTGTTTAATTGCCAAATAGGCGAATAGAGGGTTTATTGGTTGCGGTGGTTCGGGAGAGATGAACTGAAGACTTGAGGTATCCCTTCCCCTGTCATTGCGTTCCTCACCTCCAGTACGCTCAACCTCGAAGGTGTTTTCGACTGTGCCGTTACTGCTGTACACACAGGAGGAGAATACACGGCGCATTCGTAACTTTACGAGTAGACTTAAGATCTCGATCTCCTTACATACGTCCACTCTTAAAGCGTCTCCGATTCCTATATAAGAAACTCGAGATAGGGACAAACATATATACTGCATATCGGGACGAGGGGATCGCCATTCTTTCAGAGTTTGGTATACTTCTTCAAAAGCTCCCGCACCAGTTTTTCATCATACTTCTCTTCTTTGTTTGTTTGATTCTCAACTTCCTTTTCCTGTTCTTCATCAGGTACTTTAGACGGGGTGTGCCCGTATTTGCTGTTCAACTTTTCCGGATAGTCTTTCGCAAAAGAAGGTTGTCCAAATGCGAAGTTCAGCCCGTCCTCGTTGGTTCCAAGAAAGAAGTCGAAATCGAAATTCTCTAACACATCCTCGCTGTGGAGAGGGCCGAAGTCAAGGCTGAAAGCGTCGTTGTCTACGTCTACGTCTGGTAGCGACGGCTGCGGTGGTGATGATGAAAGACCCATGGGCGTGACCTCGACACCGACCTCTGGTAAATCGTCGTCCTTGCTCAGATGTCTACGACGCTTAGAGAACTTTCGGCGGCCAACCGTGGTGGGTTCTCGACTAGTGCTTCTCATGATCTCATGGTCCTGATAGACTACATTGTTGGGTTTAGGTTCAATGGGTAGGGTTGTACGATCGTCCATTATATGCTGCAATGGCCCCGATCCGAGAAATTCAAAACGAGGTACGTTGTCCGGAACTGAGGATTGACCCAGCGAGTTCTTCTGTGTAGTCATGGCAGGTAGTCGACTGTTCCAGATGATTTTGGTTATCAGTTTATATGAATAATACACAATCAGAAGGACTGGAATGGTCAAAGTAGCGATGAAGAAACCCATTTCGAGTAATTCTCCAAAGTTATACCCCAATGAGCCCGGTAAGTAGTAGAACCTTGTTCCTATGGTTAAAAGAAGAGCAATTACAACGAACACATGCTTGAGTTCAGGCGGAGCCGTTATCCGATCGAGATCCTTCTCATCTTTGTAAACAGGATCTTTATGATGAGTTTCAATCGAAGTTGGCAGTAAACCTTGGCCTATCATCCCATCCCTTGCGAGCAGTAGCCGTTTTTTGCTCTCCTGCTTAAGAAGTATGAGCTGCGTTTAGTAATCTTGAAGAGAAATCTGTCCGCCACCTGTTCGAAAATTCAGTGGCTTATCATCTGGATCTCCTGAAACATCGATAGAACGGTCCACCTGCTGAAAATGCTTTAGATGGGCTGCTTATGTTTTACGATGTTGTGAGGGATGACATACATGACTGGGAATACCCCAAGGTGCTTTTTCATGACTCGGTAGGAAGATCTTGTCGAGACTGTTGCGAATGGTTGAGTAGGTCGGGCTAATATCGTATTGTGTCTTCGTCGGGTTCTCAACTAAATCCTGCTGGAACTCCTCGACAAGTGAAAGGAGGCGCTGATTAGCGTGATTCCAGTTGATAAATGAGCGACATTT